AGACGCACTAACATGAGAGATAGAAAAAAAGTTTGTATTTATTATTATTTATGATAAATATTAATAAAGTTTCTACTTAAATGGTATAAAAAAAAACTTAAAACTATAGTCTTAAAATATTATTTAATATTATATATTTAATAATTCTAAAAATAAGAATTTCATTAAATAGATATAATCATAGAAACAAATTGAGTGAGCTTGTTTGGTTAATTATCCGGCAGTTTGCTTATAACACAACATTGAACACTAAGCATGTGTTGTTTTATAGATAAACTTTTAGAATGTACTAAAAACAATTAGCAAAAGATATAGCTATTCAATGTGCATGTTATAATCAGTTGAATAGTATTATTATACTATATTATGCTATTGTTTATGTTTTTGAGTATACCCTTACCTGTAGGGTATATTTATTCCGTATTAAAGATTATATATCTAAGCATTTAGCACCAAAGACATTATTAGCACATTAAAAAAAGACCACGTTTAACGTGTACGATGAATTATACTACATCAAGTGTGAAGAGAGCCGACCAAAACTTACAGTATTATACAGTTTTATATAAAATTTCGGGTCGTGTGAATAGCGTTTCAGCGAAAGTTGAAAATTCATTCCTAAATCACTACAAACCACGTCATATATACTATTAAACTTATTATACATACGCCCGCCATTACGATATTATGTGAATTATTAGCTTAACTCGATGTAACAACATTTTAGTTGCCAACCGTGTAACAGACGAAAATTTAGCGTGCCTTATATTATTCGAATATACCATTCTGTAAGCGTTTTTGTATAATTTAAATTATTCATCGTAATAATTCCTGGTGTATAAAAAGCGTGGATTAAAATTTACGCGCACTTTATTTCAGGATTGAATAACAATAATATTCACATGTACATATAATGTATACATGTATGTATTACTTTACGTAGTCAGTATAGTTAATCGCTAGCCATTATCGTCCGCACATTTATAAACTCGTCCCATACCAGAAAATTATAATATTATATAATATTAAAATGAAATCTGTGTTTAATATTTATGTGCAGAACCGGGTAACACAAACAATCGAAATCAACTTAGAACTAAACATCGTAATAATTAACTCACATAAAATAATTTGAGACTTTTCAGATTGTTTGCTGCTTATTTCTTCTAGGTTTTAAGCAACATAATATATCATATAAATATATTTTTTATTTTAATAACACATATAAAAAAATAAAAATATTTTTTTCATAACTTTAAAAAAATATATATATAAACAAATAACCAAAAGGACATATGCATACGCATATATATTTAAGTACACATTGTAATGTGAGTATAATTCAAGTTAATTTAAAAGAAACTTTTAATTTTGTGTTTACGTATAATAATAATAATAATAATAATGATGTATAAGAAAATCAGTAAGGATAAAAAAAATATATAGAAAAAGAAAATTATTAACCTGTAACTTACACGATAACAGTATTGCGATATATTACAATTTAAACGAATATTTGTTGCCATAAAGATATGGTGTTATACATACATATAAACATAAACATGTATTTTATAACGAATTGAATATTGAAGGGAGAAAAAATAAAGCCTACGAATTCTCTGTGAAAACTACATAATATTTTAACGCTGCTTGCACACTCGTCTCATTATGTAGGCGCATTTTTTTTTTCACTGTTTCCACTTGAATACGTTTAACAACTGTTTCCAGCGAGTAATGATAACGTTACCCCGTTTTCCGAGTATAATGTAAAACGAAAAATGGACAACTCTGAATTACATATTACAAAATTATAGTATACAATATATTACATACCCAGAAAAGTATAGATATACAACGTATATTAGAGCGCAGTGAATAGTGAGTGGAAAATTTTATAATTTTATAATTGGTCCAATAATTATTACAACGTTAATGTATAGTACTTAATAGGTGGTCTATATAAATTTTAAGCAGAAGGATTAAAAATAACTATATATTTGAACAAAAAAAACTGATTTTAATTTTTCACTGATTTGAAAAATAATACGTTAAGTTAAAATTAAGTGAACCTTGGTCTAAGAGATAATTAAAAACAATCAATTGATTTATTTTTAACTAATTTAAGTTAAGCATCCATACTAATTTTAAACTTTTCAAATTAAATATTGTATCGTTTGTTTAATTATAATCACTTAATGTTGACTAACTTACAATAACTTAATTTATTGTTTTCGTTAAAAATTTAACATCATAGTTTTTTTTCTATAAATATAATATAGGAATGTTTTGGATACTTGTGTTGCTAAAATAAGAAAACAATGTTCAAATTAAAATGACTTAAATATCATTAATTTAATTTAATTTTCTAAAAATGAATGCTCGAAAAATTAAAAACGAAAAAATAACTCTTTAACAATAAATATGTTTAAGTAATATAATATTGGTATTAAAATTTAAAATAATAATTATTATACGTATAACACAACAATATACTTATATTATGGCGTTTAGTTTTCTACATTCTTTCGTGTATTATTAAAACATGATATATTATAATATTATAATGCAATTTTGTGTGTATGCTACATATATATGAATAGTTTATTTATAGGTATTCGATTTGTATTTTATGTTAAAAATCGTTTTTGGAAACGAGGATCACATACATATACACACATACACACACACACACATATATATATATATATATGCAATTCAAAGGGACTAGAAAGGGGTAAGAATATTGCTGCTCACGGCACAACGGCAATGGGTGGTTTCATTTCCATGATGGACAAAAACCTTCGTTGCAACAGTGCTGTAATTTATATCCAATACGGTTAAACGACTACCATACCCCACTATGACCAGATTGTTATTAAATGTGGTAGATATACAGAGTGATTATTTTATCTAAAAAATTCATTATTTTAAAATATATTGGAGTTTTTGAAAAAAAAAAATGTATAGTTTCTAGTGCAGATAAAACATAGTATAATAAATATATACATATATATTGTATAGTTATAATTGATTAAGTTTTTAAATACTAAAAAATAATTTTAATTTCGTATTTTGGAGTTTAATTTTTTTCAGAGTATTTTTATTTATATAAATTGAAATTCGGACGAATAGATATGATTTATAAATATTTAAAGTTATGGGAATAGAATTATGAGCTACAGGATTATCTCGTAAAACGTTTACTACTATTCCACTAACCAGAATTTTAAATACTCATAACTTATAAACTAATCGTCTGAATTTCATTTTTTATATATCAAAATACTATGAAAAATATTTTTCTCGAGAATATGAAATTAAAGTCGTATGTAATCTTACAAAAAAGTAAAATACTTAAAAATTATGGTGTTATAATATGTTATTTTATTTTGAATAGAAATTACGTAAGATTTTTTTTTCAAAAATGTTAATAGATTTCAGAACAATTAATATTGCTTGATAACAGAATCACACAGGATATAAAAAAATTATTTATATATTTATTTATAACAATATAATTATATATTTCGAAATACAATCATTTTAGTGCAACAACACACCCAGTCATATCGACCATCGTCGGTCACGGCTATCTAACTGTTAATATATGATAATCTATCAAATACTTATATAAAATATTATAATGCATTCTAACGGCCGTCGAATTAAGTATACGTTTAACTTCACCCTAATTGAAAAAGTTTGATTTCTTTTTTAAATTCCGTCCATCGGTATATTTTTTTAAGCGATGACATAGGACTGTCTATTCAGATCTATTTTAATATTTAGATTGTCGCAATTTTTCGGTGGTACGTTTCCATCTTTTTCGTCATTGATTTTTATTTTGTTCATCCGCCATATCCGATAAGCGGGTAAGGCTGTGCTCGGTATATTTTGTAGAACCTATCATATAACTATCGATGTAATAATATTTTCCATTGCATACCACTATTGTTTTGCGTGAGACCAAGTGTATTTTTAACTCTGATATAATAAAACGAGGAAAATAACTGTAACTGACGACACGAGGGTGAACCACGAATTTCCTACCGATCAGCCGCGGGTGTATAGTTATGGTTGGGTATATGTATAGTGCCCGCTGCGAGTTTTCGAGTCTCGCCCTAATGTCTGTGTGTGTGTGTGTATGTACGATCATGTGTATGTTGAGTTTATGTGTTTGTGTGTGTGTATGTGTGGTTTACTGCTCGACGATAAAAGAGGGGAGAAAAAGTGTTTTCCCTCCCCCAGTGAGCGTTATGACGTTTGCAAGACTGAAACCATGCTATCTACATTTCTCTTTCTCTGCAATCGTGCTGTCGCTGTCATTCCATCCCGGTCCCTATTTCCCCCTTTCTCACTCCGTATTGAAAACCGTCGTCGTCGTATCGAATTCCCATTACGACGCGCGCTCACAATAATCTAATTTCTCTGTATTTTAATGGGCCTTCTCTCATTCGATTACAACTTACAACGACAGTGCGATGTCGATTTAAATGACCAATTTTATTTTATTCTATTAAAATAAAATTTAAAAAAAAACTAAAAGTTTTCAAAAGAAAAATATGCCTATACTGTTATTTTGGCCATATATTTAGCTGTATTTGCTACCTACGTTTGTATTACGCACATACTTCTTGATAATGTTAATTGACGGAGTATAATTAAAACTATATATGCCAACTAAATACTTTTTATAAGATAGAGTTATTTAATCAACAGTAATTCAGGAGATTGGGATTAAATTTATTCCAAACATTCTGAACTACAACCGTATGTATACATATTATGTAATGGAATCGCTTACATTTTTAGAATTAAATTATACACAATTATTATACGTTATCATAATAGTTTTATCGATTTATAAAACTGTATTTCATGTAACCCTATTCTCTTTGTTTGTTAAGATCAAAGCTTAAAGAATAATAATTCACAGTCAAATACTTAGAATTTAAAACTATTTAGTTTTACTAATTGAAATATTTTTTATTATGTTTAAGGGATTGCCGAGTAGTACGAGATCCGCAAACGTTAAAATCAAAAGGCTACGGCTTCGTGTCATTTTTAAAAAAAGCTGTAAGTATACAAACATATTTTTAATCTTAACTCTTTATCTGATATTAATTAGAAACCGGAAATAATAAAGTCAGTAAATTGAGATATAATAAAAAGAGATGGGTTTTTTTTATTTAAATTTAAATTCCGTTTGTTAACTTATCACATCAACAAAATGAGACAAAGAGATCTTTTGTCTTGTTGGGAACACAATATGAATATTTTTTAAAGGTCTAAAGATAAGTATAAAAATAAGCTGGCATAATTCTTTTTAATTTTTTTTTCTCGTACTATTTTATGATACCGAGAGTTTTAAATTACCGGTGATCGTCCTGAGTAGTCAACAGTATGTAATAATATAAATATATTGTTCCCCTTAAAATAAAACAAACTCAATTTTGTGTTCAATGAAAATGATTATTGATGAAAAATAAAACCATTTATTTATTATAAATCCATCGCTGACTTTAAAATAAACTTTCTTCAATATTATAAAATATTATAATAATTATGCAAAAATCCTGGAATAAAACTCTTATCATATAATTGTGTGTATATTATTGTCCACCACCAAAAAGATCGTTTCTTTCCTATCACGCCACAAAAACAGCAGTCGTCTGTTTATCGTATTGTACTATTATGTAATACTATTATCGCTGTATCCGTTTATCCGTTCTTCAAACTTGTTAATTTTTTTTTTTTTGTTTTGTTTTAATATATAAATATGAAATGTGTACGAATATAACATAATATTACAGTCGATTTTTCTGGGGATAATATACCACAAACAGTCATACAGAAGTTCATTGTTTTGCCGATTTATGTGGATTATTGTGTAAGTTTTCTTTATAAATTTCTCTCTGTACCATCACCTTATTTTGACTGCTCACAGCACACGAGATATAACAAAACGACTGGTCGGCTGGTGGCTCATTGTTGAATTGCTACAGCATTTTATCCCAACTCTCAAACGTGATAAAGGGAATAACTCCGGAAAATTGAACTATTTACGTTCACATACGTGTGCACTACACACACGACCACAAATCAGCCGGTTTTATAAATACAATATATATATATATATATATATTTATAATAATATGTAGTTTTTATTTGTTTACTTCCGTTTTTTCTGCTACTATCAATGTAATTTTGTTGGTTTCTAGTAATCTTGATTTAGGAGACGATAGCATGACAATGGAAGAATTTGAATTATATTTACGGCCAAAAATTGTTTTAGATTTTAAAATTATTTACTAAATGGAGAAAAATTTATATTGACCATGACTGTATAATGTATGATCGACCGCAGTATAAACTCGTCCAAAAGATATGGCTATGTGTATTGCATTGACAGAGGAGAAAAACTAAATGTGAGAGAGAACAGATTTACGACTCGTACGGATCATTCGCTCGTGATCCCGTGTATAACTTTAAACCCAGATAATTTATACAGATTTAAAAGCGTAATACTGCAAGTTTTTCATAATCTGATGAGTGACAGATATTTATGAAAGACAATTTTATTATTTACATTAAATTATTATACGTCACGATTGTTTAAAATAAAGTGTGTTTTAATAAATATGTGGTCAAATATTAACCAATACATACTTTCTAACACATTAAAATAACATGAGCATAGAATTTAAAATTTTACCGGCAGCGTTCAAATTGACTTAACACAGTTGAATGTTTACACATTTAAAAATGCTTATACATTGCTTCAAACATTGAAATATCAATAAAAAAATTTTACATGTGATTGGTATTTGATGATATAGTAATAATAAATAGAGTATACCCTAGAAATATTGATATACTATTCATAAATACAATTTATGTTTGTAGTTATTATTTTATATTTTCTAATTTTTGTGGCTATTTTTAATCTGTTCATAATTAGTATGCCATTAATAAAAGGTATTGTTTGAAAAATTAGTACACCAAATCACAGTTTACAGCGGTTGTCTATCGATACATTTATCCAGCTTAGGGTCTGACTTTGAAAAAGGGCGTATGCGGTATTATGGTTTCCGAACGTAATTAAGTATTATCCAATCTACCGAGTCCAATTGACCGTTTAGCAATCGCCATCGTATTATGCGCCCACAATCCATCGTCTAAGACCATGATTCCCATTATTGTTATCGAATAGTATAGCAGTGTTTCCCAATCTACTATTAATGAAATCACTTTTTTTTTAAATAGCACACATAGTCTAAGAATAAGTTAAATCGTGTATTTAAAAAAAAAAAAAAAAATAGTAACAATTATGAGTATCTATAAAATTTATTATTGAGAATAATAATTAATCAATATGTTATATTTTTATTGAATTGACATACGTTATGTTACAAAAGTACGTAGTATTTACACGTTAACGATTCTATGATAAACAACACCAATCAAAATGATTTGAATGTGGCAATTTCTCCTAATTTTTTTTTTTTTTTTTTTAGTCAGTTAAGGTCATCTTATTTCTAGATTTAACTCACTCTCACTCATATGGAAATTTTTTTAGTCTAATAAAAAATAAAAAACTTAAATATTAAACTATCTTAAACTATAAAATATTGTGTTATTAAATTTGAATTTTTTTTTTTGGAGTGACAGGTACTCAAACTGAAAATGAATGAAATAGCGAATCGCCTTGACGGCTCGACATAAATTTCGGGCAACAGTAATAAATAGAGTTAAACATTTAATCACAGATGTCGTCACTTCATGCGAGTATAAAGGACCTACTTGCCACGACGCCGCGTTTCATAGTTCTAATACTTAAACAATAATTTTCGTACCGTGTTAATACTACATTATATAATGTACAACAGTGTGTAGTGTGATGTGATGCGTAAAAAATAAAAATGAAATTCCTCCTCGCGGTGCCATACGCTCTATGTAGTTGCCGATCCCATATGTTCCATGCTCTATCTTTAATAATATGTCGGATACGCGCGTGTTCCTTTGAGATAAACGCCTCCCTGTGCAATGACAAGAAAGCGTGGACGATCGGAGGGTCGTCGTCATCGAGACCCACTAGGCCGGGTCGTCGTCGTCGGCTTAATGTCGGGTTGTGAGGGATAAAAGTAATATATTGTACAACTTTGAGTGTATATGTGTATATACGTAAATCTATCGGGTGCAACGGTCGTTGCCTCTTCACATCCCCGTTTGCACGCAAAACTGTTGCGTGTCGCCAAACACGACCTTGAAACTCACGAATGTTTGTAGAAAAATAAAATATAATAAACCACGGCTGTATTCTTTTCACTGCTCGTAAAGTACTTACGATTATTTTACACAAATTTAAGGTTGAGAATAAAAGCACAACTGTATTCAAGATAATGTGGCCTTTAAATCAATATAATAATACATTAATCGAAAATACGTTTCTATCAACGATTTTAATAATTTTTTGTCGAGTCAATAACCACATACGTCTATCTCAAACACATTATACAGATTTAGGGCATCCTCTTGCGATTTTTTATGATGTGCTTTACATTTAATTGTAAATTGACGGAATCTTTTTTTTTATTCATTTTGACAAAATTATAAAATGATTTATTAAATTATTAATATACAATTGTATAAGGCATTGTATATTGTGATATTATTCTACAGTTCCAATCATAATATAATATTAAAATTATATAAAACTTATGTATACTCGTACTTATACAATCTAGATTTCGTGATTAAAATCTGTAGTTCTGTTAACCTCTATAATATTATATAAAACGTTTTGATAGATGTTTTATAATTTAATTTACTACATTTTACTTAATAAAATATTGAAATTTTTACCTTTTCAACAATTAATAATTAAACAAATTTACTTGTATTAATCTTAGCTAATATTTAAAAAAAAAAAATATTACAAAAGTATGAAACCCCAGATTAATATTCAACACTTTTAGGTTATGAGTAAAAAAATGAGGATCAATAATTACTGAATTAATGCATTGTTTAAACCACGAAGACCATTGAATATATTATTATTATATGCCATATTAATATAAATAATACTACAACACAAATGTGTTTATGTTGTAAACAAAATATTTTGGAATTACAGTCTTTCAGTTTTAATTTGATACTTATTTCTCATACGTTAAAATTTTAAATCGCTAGTATGATTACTAATTAAATTTAAGAATAAATTATTAAAATATTGGAATAAAACTGCTTTAATTATATGATTTTATTCAATGGCATGTCTTAAAATGTTGATAAAAATGATACTTTCTATTTTTATAGCATATTTTCAAAAGTTTAATATGATTTTAAATACTATTTTAGTAGTGATCTTAATATAATTCCACAAAAAATAGTATTTTGATTGAATCATATTTAATCAAGTGCTATAAACATTTTTAACGTGTAAGATTGTAAAATAAAAATACAATGAAGAGTTTCAGAGAACCGTTTGATTCGATGTAAACCCTGATATTAATAATAATATTTGATTCCATGCGTGTGTGGACTTACGATCATATTTTCAGAAAACTTGTATTATTAAGATTTTTTCTTCGTTTTTGGGTATTTTTTTTTTTTTTATAACAGATTATTACTGTTTAATATTGAAAATTGTATTGCGTATACAATATATTATATATCATGGGGCTTTCGTGTTATATTGTATAATATAACGTATACAGAAATTCTACAAATTATTATACTGCAATATTTGCAACAATAATAATGCAATTCAACTTATATTTTTTCTCACAATAAGTTTTCTTTTAATTTTTATGACGATTATGATTATACTGAGGTTTACTATTTTATTCGTTATCTTGTGATGCGACAAAATAAGTTCTGTATATATGTATATGATTTTAATTTCAATCGAGAGGGTTTTTAGACTAAATTTATAGTGTTGGGATGAGGTGTAGTAAGATATAATTTAAATTTGATATTTTAATCGACTCACTATTCAAAACAATTAGTTGTTTGAAAATAAAAGAAAAAACACCCAAGAAGATTGGAATATTATTTAAACACAACGAACTTTT